TGTACTTTTACAAGATTTGTTTACTTTTATTGAAAAGGTCAGATTTATAGAGAGGAGAGATAAAGAACTTCCATCCGCTGATTTCACTCCCTCAATAGCCACAATGAAGCCAGGAGCTGGTAGCATCTTGCAGGTCTACTAGCGGGGTGCAGGGGCCCAAAGCTTTGTATATATAATTTGTTTTTAATGTCTACATAGTAAAACTGGTATTGTTGTAGACTGTCTTCTTTTCTTAACCCTGGGTCATAACCATCTGTGTGTCTTATCTTTAAAACAAAGGATTTGATTTGTCTTGGCTGATTAAACCATTTCCCTGTTCTCTTTCTCTTCCTGTTTTTCCTTGAACTTCTCCAGTTGTGCTTTGGTATTTAACACAGCTGTTCTTAAAGGTGTCAGACCTTCCCATGGTGGAAATGGATGTTTGACTCTCTTTTTTTTGGAGGGGGGAGTGGAGAAAGGGGTGCAGTTTTTAATTGTAGACAGTATGTATTCATCAAAACCATCCTTAAGCAGTGTAACAGCTAACATTAATAAGAGGGCTGGGACAAAACCCATCTGAAGCCCAGAATTGTAATCTAGTGTAGGTTGTTCACAAACAAGTCACCTGAGAAGTGTGATGGGTAACTTCTTTCAAGTCTCATGATAAAAGTAGAAATCTCTGAGGGTGGAATGGCAGTTTTTTCCTTGCTACAAGCACCTTAATGTATACACTTTTCGTGGGACTCCTCCCCTTTGCTCCTGCCAGCAAGTGTTGATCCTGTCTTATCCCGACACAGGAAGTGGGGCGGTCTATCTGCAGAATCTTCATTTTACAGAACTAATCATATAATTGTGATATTGGAAAACACTGCTGTGGATCTCCATTTGGACTAATATGAGCTTAGTCGAGCAATAGACAGAAGTCAGAGAAGGAGTAGCATTTAGAACTTACCTGGTGTGAATAAGAAGTTGTTAGTGAAGATGATCTCTGGAAAGAGCATGATTTATTTAGTAAACAGTTGAGGCAGTTCATCTGAGAAGGAAGAAAATTAACTTCTTCATACATTATAGAAAGGTAAACTTTACTTAATAGAATCTATATGGGAAAATTATCCAAATACTGAAAAAATCTGAGACCAAAATTTTTGCCTTGTAATGCAAGAAAGGCTTTAAAATGGATTGGAAACTCAGAAGCTATGAAGGAAAGACTGATGTATTTAACTATGCAAGCTTGTTTGGGATACTCATTCTACCATGTGGCAACATTAAAATGTACCCAGGGCTAATTTCTCATTCCTTATGTTTCCTGTAGCCACTTTAGCAAATAGGATTCAATTGGTCAAAGATTAGTTATCTGATTTAAAATTCTGAAGGGAGGGGCCAGTGCCAAGGCATAGTTGGTTAAGTAAGCCTCCGCCTGCAGGGCTGGCATCCCATGTGAGCAATGGTTCATGTCCCAGTCTGGCTCCCTGAGAGAGCACAGACAATGGCTCAAGTTCTTGGGTCCCTGAACTCATGTGGGAGAGCTGGAAGAAGCATCTGGAAGCTGGCTGGTTGCCAGCTTCATGGCTGCTCACTCCAGCTGTTGTGACCACGTGAGAGTAAACCAAAGTTTGGGGAGGACCTCTCTTTCTCTCCTTTTCTTGGTAACCCTGACATTCTAAATAAAACCAAGTAAATAAAAAAAAATAAAAAACAAAACTAGTGTGTATGGGAAACCCTAAAAATGTAAAAAATTAAAAGAAAATTTGACATGAAAAATATATCCTTATAAAATAGGAATATGCTGTGGGCAGGCGCGCTTGGTGGTCTCTGAGAGCCAGCCGCCTGCCCTGTAACTGCGAGGCCTTGAGGAGGTGGCACGGCTCCCCTGTCGGAACCTGCTCACATTCATTTTCCATGTGGCCTCACTCTTTCTGAAATTCTGTGATTCCATATATACAGAAATAAACATTCTCTATTAAACTTCCTCATATTTTATGCATGCTTCTACATTTTGGGTACATGTAAATCCGTTCTATATGCATTCATATACAGCTAACAGATTTGGCAGAAATAGCCCTGGTGGCTGAACCACAGCGTGGACTGTCCTGTTCTGCCAGGCACATGATTATGTTTGAACCAGTCAGTAGTTTCATTGGCTTCTTCAACCAAATGTGGTTTTAATGTACAAAACCTCGTGAAGTTTCGTCATGTGGAATGCCAGTGCAGACTAACAACACATGTTAAAATTGAAGTTTTTATCGTTGGCATAGCTACCCCACCCCGCCTCAGCTCTGCTGGTTTTAAGTGGAAGTTGTGGCTTTGGGGGTTTCAGTATCATGAATTTTGGGATTTTAGATCCCAGGGATTTTCTTTAGATTAGGGATTTTGATCTTTTGAGATTTCAGCATCTGGAATTACGGATTTGACATTGTCTTTTGGGTTATAACTGCAGTGTTACAGAGCTACCAGCCTCATCTAAATTACTTCCCACTGAAGTCTTGTAAGTTTTCACAGTGCCATTGGGTCCGAACTGTGTGCGCTGATCAAAGAAATCCTCATTCCCAAGGACTGCTGAGGTGCTGCTTGTTCTCGGCCTCTGCGGAATCTGCGAGGCTCTGTGCTGCATCGGGGGCAGCAAAAGTGATGTTTCTTTCTTTCCTTTTCCTTTTCTTTCTATTCCCCCTCTATTTCTCCTTCTTTACCTCATTCATTCTCTCCCTCCCTCCCTATCATTTTAGAATATTATTTATTGAGGCCTAGTGGGTTAAGCTGCCATGTGTTAATGTGACTGGAAAACAGCAGAAGATGACACAAGTGCTTCGACCTCTGCACTGGCATGAGAGACCCAGAGAAAGCTCTGGGCACCCTGATTTATCTTGACACAGTCCTGGCTATCCTGGCCCTTTGGGAAGTAAACCAGTGGAAGATCTATATCTATGCCTTTCAGATAATGTGTGTGTGTGTGTGTGTGTGTGTGTGTGTGTGTGTGTGTTTGTAAAATTATTTGCTTGAAAAGCAGTGAGGGGTGGGGAAGAGAAAGAGAGAGGTTCATTCCCCAAATAGCCTTAATAGCTGCCCTGGGCCAGGCCAAAGCCAGGACATTGGAACTCCGCCTGGGTGCTCTGTGTAGGTGGTAACAACCTAAGTATTTGGACCGTCTTGGAAGTGAAAGTGGAGAAGCCAGGATTTGAACGTGCATTCCAGTATGGGATCCTGACCTTGTAAGGCGTGGCTTAACCCACTGTGCCAAAGTGATGCCCTGATTCTGGGGGGTTAGTCTCTGTGAACAGTTGGCTAGGCCATGGCTGTGCTAGCAGTCTTTATTTGGAGCCTTTCTGAAAGTAAAACCTCTGTTTTTTTCTACAAGTGAACAGATGCAATAATTTGTGCTGAGTGTTCATGGCCGGCTGTGCCTGAGGGTGAGCTTGCACCCTATCAATAGTGACTGGTGGAAGGCATCACAGTCCTCCAGGCTTTATGCCTGGGATAAAATGTCTGCATATGGAGATGGAGGGGGCCAGGTGAAACATGCTGGCTCCCTGCGCCCTCTGAGGACAAATTGGAGTCCTGGGTAGGGTGCTGGTTAGTTTGCTTCCATTTTGTTTCTTAGGTAGTACCCACCTGCTACAATGCAGCTGCTTCCTCTGCCTGGAGTGTTCCTCCTCTGGGTGGGAACGTGGCTGTATTTCTTCCTAAGTCTCTCTGGGCATTTCCCACTACAGACCCTTTTCATGGCTACTCAGCTGATAGATCTTCTCTAAGCTGGGTTTGTGTTTGCCTGCAGCATTAGTCAGTACTTGGCATGCATGTGCCTACGTGTGTATTTGCGTGTTTGACTGTCCCGGAAGGTGTAGAGGTGCCAGGAGAGCAGGGACTCGGGCTGTTTGATTCACTGTTGTGGTCTCAGGATTTCTGACAGCATCTATCACAACAGATTGTCTGAATGAATGCAAAGCATTCAGTGTAGGCAAGTTTACTGCTTTCTTCTTTGGTTTCACTTACCTCAATTGAGAAATGTCTAGAACTGGTGTGCAAAATGCAAATGCGGGTGTCCCTACTTCAGTTGTGTGTTGCAACCTAAAGTGAGCATGAGGCTCGCTGGGGAGGAAGGCACAGTGAAGGTGAAAGGAGGACGTGGCATCTCATGCTACGGCATGTTAAAAAAAAAAACAGGGTGGCAAAGTTTTTGGCTTCCATTCTTTTTTTTTTTTTTTTTTTCCCCATTTGGTTTGACCTCTCTTAGAACTGCGAAATGTTTGCGCAAGCCTGGGATTAGATTGGAAAGACCATCTATTTAGTGTGCCATGGACACATTGTTAATTGGGCAGAAATCAGTCTCTTGGAATTATCAGAATGTTGCAGGGTTCAGTGTACTAATTCCTTCCCAGCTTTTGTTTTTAAACAAACCAACCAACCAAAGGACACCTTGTTTGTTTACCGCCATCCCCTACTTATCTTCCCCTTCACTGATTTCCCCTATATCATTAAAATAGTATACTCCTTCAAAACCAGTCACAAGTCCATCATTCTATTATGGAAGTGTATCCTGACATTGTAGGTATAGATAATGGTGGAAAGTCCAGCATCCTATTGTCAAGATATATTTCACAGTTTCATTGGGAGTCCATCTTTGATGTGGGAGCAGAGATGCACTGTGTCTTCCCTTCTTGGTGTGACAGTCCCCCTTATACAGCTCCTCTAGTTGAATGTATGTACATGCATGTTTACCTACATATCTGTTGATCTTGTATATTGCATCAAGGTTGCCCAATATTAGAACATATATTTGTCCTTTTGTGATTGGCTTATTTCACCGAACATAATGTTTTCTAGTGGGGACCATTTTGTTGCAAATGGTGGAATTTCATTCTCTTGACTGGCTAAATAATATTCCATAGAATAGATGTACCACTGTCTCTTTATCTAGTCCTCTTTTGAGGGGCATCTGGTTTGTTTTCATGCCTTCAGTGTTGTAGATTGTGCTGCTGTAAATAAGCTAAAATAATTTTGACTTAATGTCTTTTTATTCCTTCTAGATTCTTGCTGGAATCTGTAATTCTACTTTGGAACACATGAATAACCTCGTATCTTCAAAACCGTCTACCATGAAACTGAAACAGACCATCAACCCCATCCTTTTATATTTCATACATTTTATAATATCACTCTATACAGTTTTAACATACATTCCATTTTATTTTTTATCTGAGTCAAGACATGAAAAATCAAATAAAATTAAAGCAAAACCTGTAAATTCAAGTCCTGATTCTGCGTACAGATCTGTAAATAGTTTGGATGGCCTGGCTTCAGTGTTGTACCCTGGCTGTGATACACTAGATAAAGTTTTTATGTATTCCAAGAACAAGTTTAAGGACAAAAGACTTTTGGGAACACGTGAAGTTTTAAATGAGGAAGATGAAGTGCAACCAAACGGGAAAGTTTTTAAAAAGGTAAGCTGTTGCATTGCCTTTCAGTTCCTTGCACAAATTGTCCCCTTTATCAGCTCTGTCTCAGGCCACCTGTCTCTCAGGCTTTGTAGGAAATTAACTCCTTGCTACACTACTTACCACTCTGCAATGGCTTTGCCTGGGCTTATATCCTAGTCCCATGACTTAGCTGTGCAGTTCTGAGTTAGTTTTGAGGATACTTCGAGACATTTGTGGAAAAATGGAGTTGTTAAGTTTATTTTGGTGCAAAAAAAATTTGAAATACATGCTTTCGTTATAAACATTTTACATAAACTGTTTTGAAAACTTTTTTTATGTGTGGATTTCATAGTGTTTGTTCCAAAATTAATCTTATTCCTTTTCCTATTAACCGTTTGAAGCATTCTAGAACTCTGTGCCTCAGAATCACATGTGTAAAATGAAGGTAATTATGGGAACTATCTCATTTATTGGCTAAGAATTTAATGTGTTAATTCTGACAGTGACTCAATGTGCAGTAGACACTAGTAGCGGAAGCTGCTTTCCTCATGCCATTCTCGGGTGTTCAGGGATGTGGGGAGCTGTCAGCCTCTCGGGCTCCCTTACAGTAATGTGTTCATCGTCATGTTCATGTGCAGAGGGAAAGGTTAAGCAGATAGCCTTTTTTTTTGAAGAGGATTTTGTGATTTTCAAATACTTATATTCCAAGTAGTGAAAGTAAAACTATAGGCTTAAATTTGTTGAACTCTCAGCTACTGGAAAACTCGATTTCTGTTGGACTGTCAGACCTGTCAGGAGGCTCTCGAATGTGCTGGTACTTTAAGAGATAGTGTTACCTCTCCATTTTTTTCTTTTTGTTTAAGTTTGCCTTTGAGGTCAGCGATGACATGAAAGCTGATTTCAAGAGTTCTCAGGCAGAGTAAATGTTCATTTCCTGTGTCACAGGCAACATAGTCAAACATGAGAGTGAGAGGATCTTAAAAATTGCTGCTCTCTACCAAAGTTGCTCAAATAATCATGTTGATAGAAAAACGAACATTTGCATATGGGTCACTGGTAAAACATGTTTCAGAGGTAATAGAGACATGATGATGTAGGTAGCTGAGCAGTAAGAGAGTTAAATATTTAGATAGATATAGGATCCTGGTACGTTCAAGGTGAGGACTTAAGCCGCTAAGCCATGGCGCCAGGCTAGATATGGGCTTTTTAAAAAAAAATCAATGAAAGGAGACTGATAAGAGAATGAGATGAGACTGTTGACATCCGGTTGAATGATACCATTCTTGAAAGTCATTGTGGGTGGAACTGCTTGAGGCACTAAGGAGACAAAAATAGACAGGACACATAAGTTATGGGTCTTGTACGTGTGGAAGGAATAAAGAAGCAGTTTAAAAATGCAATAGCTGCTATAAAGAGATAAGCAGATTGGTGATGAGGGAAAGCCTCCCTGAGCAGTCAGGGTTAGGCTGCAGCCTGAGCTATCGCTGTCCTGCGACGGGGCCCAGCTAGGGAGGTTCCCAGATGTGCACTGGTCCTGACGAGGGAGTGCCTCCCTGGATGTGTGGCCTGGTGCCTGTCTTGTGCTTGCTGCACACTTTGGAGGATAGAAGGAAAAGTTCTGTTTGGGGTGAGTCAGGGGAAAGAAGGCATGAGGGGCAGGGAGAGGCTTATGCGTTGTAACGTTCTAGGGCCTGTGAGGCCAGGGGGAGGCCTTTTGGGCGATCTTTTCCTGAAAAAGGAAATCATGCAGAGTGTTTATGCGAGTGACCTGATTTGTGTGAGTTTTGAGAAAATAGAAGTGAGAAACAGTTTATCTAGTTGGTATGAGTTCAGGAGAGAAATGGACCAGGGTGGTGGGAGCAGAGGTGTAAACAAAGCTGAACCTGCCGAGGTTTTATAGGTAACAGTAGATAAGAACCCGTGGATTTGAAGTTAAGTATAGTAGAGAAAAACCCAAGTTTCTGTTCTGAGCAGGTGGGGCTGATTCCCCCTTTGCTGACAAAAGCAAGGACCAAGACAAAGAAGGAAAATGAGATTGGTTGAATTAGGTGACTTTGCTAGGGAGCTTGCTAAGTGTGGTGTTTCTTTTAGACATCTAAGTTGAACAGATAAAAAAAAAAGAGTGTCAGTCAGATCTCCAAGTATGGGTGATTAGGCCGGACATAGAAACTTGGAGCGTTCTTTCACCCTTTGTTGGGGGCACTTAGCCATGTGGACTAGGAATGTTGCAAATAGATAGAGGTAAGTTATTGAATTTGATGGGAGGTGTTTCTGTTTAATTTCTGATTGCTCAGTGAAGTAGGCGACACATTGTCATCTGGAAGAGAAGGGAGTATCGATAGTTTCAAAGCTGTTTCAGAGGGTGAGAAAATAAGATTACAGGCTAGGGAGGTCTGGGGTCCTGGAGTTTTCATATGATTGTGAATTTTCTTGTACCTGTGTTCAACAGTAGAGGCCGGAAATAAATACAAATGGGTTTAATTTGGGATTGAGCTAACCATAAGGGCAAAGTGGGAACTAGAACTCTTTTTTTCCAGCAAAAATCCCATAAAATTATGGGCTTGATAGAGTCCTTTAAATGTAGTTTTTATAAGAAAAAAGATAATTACTTTATAATTCAGTGGTTTAATGAATTAAAGAGATTCAGCATTTTTATGTATGAGGAAACATTATACTCCATATTCTCATGAGTTAGTTTCTTGACCACATGACGACATCACAGCATGAGTTTTCATCTTTGTATCATAAATTAGATGCCTTTTAGAACAGTTACATTGTTTTTAAGATTTACTTATTTTTCTTGGAAAGGCAAATTTACAGAGGGAAGGAGAGACAAAGATCTTGCATCTGCTAGTTCACTCTGCAAATGGTTACAGAGGCCAGAGCTGAGCCCATCTGTAGCCGGGAGACCGGAACTTTTTTTGAATCTCCCACATGGGTCCAGGGTCCCAAGGACTCGGACCATTTTCCACTGTTCTTTCAGGCTATAAGCAGGAAACTGGATGGGAAGTGGAGTAGATGGGACATGACCTGGTGCCCGTATGAAATCCAGCATTTGCAAGGCGAGGATCCAGCCACTGAATCATCATACTGGGCCCATTACATTTGTTTCTTCTTTAAATGTTATATCGGGGACGGCATGATGGCTTATCAAACTAAACTCCATCTGCAGTGTTTACATGCCAGTTTGTTCTACTTCTGATCCAGTTCCCTCACCTGTGGCCAGGGAAAACAGCGAAATGTGGCCCAGTTCTTTGGGCACCTGCAGCTATGTGGGAGACCCGGAAGAAGCTTCTGGCTCCTGGCTTTGGATCAGCTCAGCTCTGGCTGTTGCAGCCACTTGGGGAGTAATCAGTGGATGGGCAATTTCTCTGTTTTTCCTCTCAATAAATTTGCCTCTCAGATAAAAAAAAATCATAAAAATATTTTTTTATTAATATGAGGAGAACCAATTTTCATGTTTTTCATAGATCTGATTCTCGGATGGATGATAGGCACACTTCTCAGGTCTTTGAAATATATAAGGCCATCACTTAGCCTCTTTGGAACATGAGCATTTTTAGTTGTTGTACATGCTGGCCAGATTCTCCTCTGTCTCTCCCCCCATCTCCTTTTGAACCCACAGGACCTTCCTGGGGTGCTGAGCTTTTAGAGATGGTACGGAGCAAGGAGGGTGTTTGGGACCAGAATTAAATGACTGTCTTAAGTGCAGATGGCTTGGCCATCAAAATAAAAATTTGTATTTTAAATCATATCAGCGAATGAAACACTGGAGGGCAATATTTATCCTTTTTAACGTTAAAAAAATCTTTATCTAACCTCTTATTTCTACAAATTTCTTTAATGCTGTTTGCATTTTTAAAAATGGATGTGCTCTGGTGATTTTAAAGTGTTTCAGACATACGATTGTGAAATGACTGTATTTTGGAACCTTGGCGTGTTAACAGAAAAGAGCTTTTTCTTTTTATCTAATCTGTATGTAATCAGGATGTGTACAGTCTCAGGTTAAAAAAAATCTATTGATCAGCTTAAAAGGAAGGTTATTAGTGTGAACTTGGTGCTGCCTGTGCCCAGGTGTGCCAGTGATCATGGAGTACTTGGGAAGGGCGGCCTGGAATAGCACCGCTAGGTCCCTAGTTGGTTTCATAAATAGAAACTTGCTTGCTTTGCTATCTAGATTGAACAATCGTAAATATTTCTATTAGCCTGGGTTGGGCCTCTTTCTGTTTTGAGTCATGCAGTGCCATATGTTGAAATCTGGGTTTTTAAGGTAGTACTTAATACTTTTAAAATGAACATCTGAATCATTTAGGAAAATGAGATCTGTAACTGGATTGTTAGTAAATGACCCTCTGACCAGTAAGTTAACCTTTAAGATCCCATCATACTGAATATTTTTGGAAGAATAATTTTTTAAAGATTTATTATTTATTCTTACTGGAAAGTCAGATACACAGAGATATTCTGTCCAATGATTCGCTCCCCTAGTGACTGCAACGGCCGGAGCTGTGCCCATCTGAAGGCAGGAGCCTGGAGCCTACCTTGGGTCTCAACCTGGGTGCAGGGTCTCAAGGCTTTGGGCCATCCTCGACTGCTTTCCCAGGCCACAAGTGGGGAGCTGGATGGGAAGCCGACCCGTAGAGGATTTCCACGTGTGCAAGATGAGGACTTCAGGTGCTGAGCTATTGTGCCGGGCCTGAAAACTAAGATTAATTAAAGTTACAGGAAAAGATTTAGAGAAAGAGTTGAGGAGTCATAAGATAATATAAAATAACTAATTTTAAAAACATCTTCACTTGAAATTCAAGTTCGAAAAAGTTTATGCAATCATATTGGCATAATTTTCAGGTTAATTGTGGAATTTGGAACATATTTATTTCTTTTGTAAGGTATTATTTTTGCCCTATTCAAAACTAGTTGTATTGTTTGTGTATTTTCATCAGGTCATTCTTGGACACTATAATTGGCTCTCCTATGAAGATGTTTTCATCCGAGCCCTTCACTTTGGAAGCGGCTTGGAAGTGTTGGGTCAGAAACCCAAGACCAACATCGCCATCTTCTGTGAGACCCGGGCCGAGTGGATGATCGCCGCCCAGGCGTGCTTTATGTACAACTTCCAGCGTACGTGGGCTTTCTTACTGTCTGAAACAGTGGACTTATATTACTGTAGACGAGAAAATGATGAAAATTCTACTATTTCACTCTCAAGAGGGTGAGAGTTAAAATTCTTAGATTCATTATCTTAGTGCACCCAGACAGTGGAGAACTCCTAACTGTGACTTGGCATTTTTGGTCTAGTTTGAACAAAGACCCAGTTGTGGAGCAGATTGTCGCAGTCAGTGTAGTGATGAGATCTGTACCACGAGGCTGTGCACTTTGGCATCAGGGCTTTGCTGGCATCTCTCGGAATCCACATTTGAATTTACTCTTCTTTAGTTATTGTCACGTTTCCCATGGCAGCACTTGACTTCTGAATTGTTCATGCTTGAACCCGGGGAACTTCATGGTGGCAGGTTAAATGATAGTATTTTTATTTATTTTTCTTGGAAAGGCAGCTTTACAGGGAGAAGGAGAGACAAGAGAGAAAGGTCTTCCATTCACTGGTTTACTCCCCAAGTGGCCACAATAGCCAAAGCTGAGCCCATCCAAAGTCCGGAATCTGAAGCTTTTTCCGGGTCCCAAGGCTTTTGGGCCATCCTTGACTGCTTTCCCAGGCCACAGGCAGGGAGCTGGATGGGAAGCAGGGCTGCCACGTTATGAACTGGCGCCCGTATGGATTTGTGGCACTAATAAGGTGAAGACTTTAGCCACTAAGCTACCACGCCAGGCCCAAATGATAGTATTTTGGTATTGTAGTTACTTCAGGGTTAATTGTGGTGGCTCAGTCTGTGGTATATTCCTGAATGCTTGGTTCAGAGAGGTTAGTGCCAACGTGTAGGTGTAGTCAGATGTAGATGCTTCAGGTGAAACAGGAACGGTACTTTCCCTAGGTTTCCTGCTGACATTTGAATTCTTTTATTCATTTATGTAATTGTTATGAATTAGATCCACACACTTGCTTACAGAGAGGAGAAGCACATGTGGGTACGCTCTGTTACTTCACTCTCTGCGTGCCCACAGCTGCTAGGGCCAGCCTGGGGCCAGAGCAAGGTGCCGGGAACGGTGTCCAAGAGGGTGGCGAGGAGCCCATCGCTTGGTCATCACTGCTGCCTCCAAGTGTGTGTTACCAGGAAGCTGGAGTCAGGAGCTGGGGTCTTAGAGAAGGGTAACTAGGTCTGTTGATTCATGTGTTAGACTGTGGATCTCATAGTTGAGAATGCTCTATGGTGATATGTGATACACATCTCCTGTGAGGGGCTTTATTTATATTTGGCACTACATCAAACATATGAATTCTTGATTTGCTCTTCTTTTCCTTGTAGTTGTCACATTATATGCTACTCTGGGAGGTCCAGCCATTGTTCATGGATTAAATGAAACAGAGGTGACCAATATCATCACAAGCAAAGAGCTCCTGCAGACCAAGTTGAAGGTAAAGTGTGAATGACATTTTAAAACCTGCAGTGTGAGGAATCCTGGTATTGATACTTAATTTGTGCTCTTTTACATTTTTTTTTACTGTCATTGTAGACTTTTAGGAATAGCAGACTGTTAATTTTCTTGACAGAATAAAAACTGATTTTCATATATATACAAATTCAGATAATCCAGAGTTATGTTATCAGTGTTCTTACATCTGGGAACGTCTGTGTTCTTACATAGAAGGGATCAGTGCTTCTTTTGTTAAGCTCATATATTTTCAAATCCACTTTTAATAAACTTGTGCTTTCTAAGGGATATGTTTTAAATCATAATTGTTTCCAGACAGGCTCCTCTGAAAATAAATACCTTTGTTTATTTATTTATACTTTCTACAAGTTTCCAACTGAATCCTTGTTCCCCAGTTCACCTCCTAGTCTTCTGTTTCACCTCTTAAAAACCCGAGGCGGGGACTCGGACTTCTTGGGACTCATGTCACCTCTGTGTGTGTGCGCGCGTGTTTGGCAAGGCAGTGGCTTCACTGATTAGAATTTTACCAAAGAACATGGGCTCATGCTGTAAAGAAGCTCGAGTCAGCATAGTCACTTCTCCAGCTGCACTGCAGCTCTCTCTCTCTTTTGAGAGAAGAAATACTTTCAATAGTTTACTCGCTGTGATAAATCTCTTTTCTTGTATCTTGAACCGTTTGCTAAACTGAGCGAAAAATAACGAAGAACATGGTGAATGTTGGGGTTTCTCCAGGATATCGTTTCCTTGGTCCCACGCCTGAGGCACATCATCACTGTGGACGGGAAGCCACCCACCTGGTCCGAGTTCCCCAAAGGCGTCATCGTGCACACCATGGCTGCGGTGCAGGCCCTGGGAGCCAAGGCGAGCGTGGGTATGTGTGCTGCCCTCTTCCTGACGAGTGCTTTCCAGGGGTGTTCTTCTCCAGGATTACTGAGCTTCAACAGGTGACACACCACCGTGACTTGGAGAAGTGGTTGTCTCTAGGTACCCTTTTATCTAGGCCATAGAGAAGGGTTTATGGAAGAACACATTATTAGGGTTCTGAAAGTTAGTATTTATTTGGAATTAGGTTAGTAGTCCATTTGCTCTCATGCTTTTAGCTTTCTCATTTCCTTTCTCTGATAGTTTTGGTTAAAGTTAGTTTTATAAATATGCCATCGAGCTTGTTCATGGGAGTGAATTCTTACATATGTTACCAATAGAGTGACTAGGCCTAGAGTCCTTTTTCTACTCCCTGTTCCAACTCTTCTTTGGAGGTGACACCTTCTGGCAAGGCTTGGAGACTAGAAGTTTCTATTCATAAATAAGTATAAGAAAGTGTTGGGGCACACTAGTGTTTAGAGATACCAAAAATGTTGCTGGAATAGTGGGACTTTCTCAGTAGTTAAAGATGTAGTGATTGAGTATGAACGTTCATTCAGCTTAGGGACAAGGCTGCACTGACACATATTTGGGGCATGTTATGTTAGATGGTCATGGGACATTCACAATGTGCAGTCATGGCAGGCTGGAGTTTAGAATTAAGAGAGTTGCAAATTCATTAGAGCTGTGGGAATAGTGGAAGTTACCAACAGGGAATAGTGTCTCTGAACGGCACTGAGTGTGTGGCCAAGGGGAGGAATTCTGGTTAGGTCATCAGTAGGACCACGTATATAGATACAGAGAGAGTCAAGTGGCATGGGGATTGCAAAAGCACCGCCAGACTTGGCAAATGCTGCCTTGGACAGTGCCCGTGATGCCGTGGAGGTGGAGAGTGGCGTGCAGGAGGAAGGAGTAATGGCAGAGGTAGAAGCAGAGTTGTAAAGAAGGGAGATTTCTTGAACACATATAAAGATCCTTCCTTCTTTCCTTCCTTCCTTCCTTCTTTCCTTCCTTCCTTCCTTCTTTCCCTCCCTCCCTCCCTCCCTCCTTCCTTCCTTCCTTCCTTCCTTCCTTCCTTCCTTCCTTTCTCTTTCCTCCTTCCCTCCCTTCTGTCTTGCTGTCTGTCTCTCTGTCTTCCTTTCTGTCTTATTTAGAAATCGGCATGAAACATAGTTTGATTCAGGCAAGTCAGCAGTTTCATCCATGACCCATTCTTCTGTCTTTTATGCATTGGCCTCTCTGAGGCTCAGGCTTGTCATTGCAAATGGGTAACAGTGTTTTTCAATCCAGGACTTTGAGAGTAACCAAACTAATTATACCACTGCAAAGAAGAGAACATTTTTAGTAGATTTTTAGGTTCCCCTAGTTCAAATGACTATTATTTTTTAGATGAATTTGTGGGATAACTTTTGTCTCCCTAATTCCCTTCTTGCTTTTCTAATTAGGTAGTAGGACATAGCAGCCAGGTAATCCTTGTCACAAGAGATGACAACATTGTGAGCAACATTGCTGTTTTCTGAATTACAGTCCAAAGTCCTTAGCGTGGACTCTGAGATCCTACATGTATGATCTGAGACGCCCTTCAGCAGGACTCTCTGGCTGTCCTTCTCGTGCTTACTCCATTGCCACTGAACTCCTTGCTTGTGTCTTAATATGCCACGCGCGTGTCTACCTCACAACCCTGGCACCTACTTAGTTCTTTCTCGTTTGAATAATCTTCCGATTTCAGGGTTTTTGTGGCTCTGTTCCTCCCCTTTGTCAGCTTCAAATAACCGCAGAGGCTTTCCTGACATACAGAGCTAAATAGCACCTGTTGTCATTTTCTTGCTTTGTTTTGCTTTACTTTTATTCGTGCCTTTTATTTACATTGTAGATTTTCATTTGTGCCAGTAGATTTCATGTTCTTTATGTGTTGCTCCCTATACAAATATTTTTGTTGAACTATGTTGGAGAATAATTATGAAAAAAAATGATATGAATGAATTTCTCAGAAATGTGTTATTTTTCCTTCAATACAGAGAACAAACCTCACAGCAAACCACTGCCCTCAGATATTGCAGTAATTATGTATACAAGTGGATCCACGGGAATTCCCAAGGGAGTCATGATCTCACATAGTAACATTATTGCTGGTGTGACTGGGATGGCAAGAAGAATTCCAAGACTGGGGTATGTCATTACTGAAAAATAAATAAATAAATTTTAATTTTAATTGGCTATAAATTTCTAAAATCGCTTTAATTAGTTGATACTGTTGCTCTTTTGTTTTGGTTTTGTTGTTTTTAATGTTAATCTGTAGATAGAGAAAGAGGCAGAGAGAGGCTTTTCCCTTCAGTTGGTTCACTTGCCACAACAGCTGGAGCTAAGCAAATTTGAATCCAGGAAGCAGGAGCCTCCTCTGGGTCTCCCACGTGGGTGCAGGTGCCCAAGGACTTGAGTCATCCTCAAGGCTGGCTTCCCAGGCCACAAGCAGGGAGCTGAAAGGGAAGTGGAGAGCTGGGACCCAATCCAGGCACCCACTGGGATGCTGGTGCCCTCAGTTGTAAGATTAGCCTGTTGATCCATCGCCCCACCCAGTATCATTTCTTTATTCATCTTTGTGTTGACATATTGTTCTGATGGCTTGATCTGTTCCGCAGATATTTTTTGAGCTATGTTCAGAGTCTGATTATTTTCCTTAATTTTTAGTTATTGATCTGCCTAGGGAAAGAAGGAGATGCAGCCAGGAGTTCCCATTCTCTGTATCCCTCTTCCAGTGCCTGCTGTGGCTTTATCCTAGGACTTAATCTGTGTTTCCCATTTAGTGGCAGGAACCCAGCTGCTTCAGCTGGTGCTTGTTGCTGTTAGGCAGATCCCATATTGGCTGGAACCTGAAATTAAAGTGAAACTGGGTCTTGAACCTGAGGACTGTGGTATGGGATACAAGCATCCCAACCAGCATGTTAACCACTCGACCAAGTACCTACCCCTGGCTTTGCTGTGAAGGCAAACTCTAGTGATAGCATGCTTGGTCTAATGGAGTGGGAAAGAGATGATGGAGGAAACAGATGGGGTCTGAGGGATTGTCAGGGAAACATGCGCAGAGCTGAAATCAGTATTCTGGTGAATGCTTTTGGTAACCACACACACACTGAGTTTCGAGAAAGAATGTGAAATTTCTCATATCTGTTAGGAAAAATTTCATCTATTACATTACAGAACAAATTAATAATAATTCATTTTAGGTTTGCCTCACTTGTATGATATTTTGAGGGTAGGCGCAATTGTTGAATTATAAACATACATAACCTGTTTTTTGCAGTTTAGTCCAACTTCCAGCAAAGAATCTTCTCTGTAAAACCTGGCCATCTCTCCTTATCTGCCTCCACCATTTTAGGTTGAACTGTAGTTCTGTTTTGAATGTCGCTCTGCTGTTGTGGCCACTTGCAGCAGAGCGCACTGCTGACCTTACCTCTGGCTCCCTTCTCCTAGGGAGGAAGATGTCTACATTGGCTATTTGCCTCTGGCCCATGTCCTGGAGCTGAGTGCCGAACTCGTCTGTCTCTCCCATGGATGCCGCATTGGCTACTCCTCACCACAGACTTTAGCAGATCAGGTGAATTAAATGTCTTTGACTTGACATACTGAAAAGCCTGTTAGGCTTGCTTTCTTTTCTGTAAAAATGACCATTGTCTGCAAGGATGACAGTTCATGTTTTTAAAATAACATGTTGCCTTTGAAACTGCTTTGTAGAGTATAAGTGCACCAAAATGATGAATTTATAATATGCTTTCATTGATTTAAATTTTCTTTGGGTTTTCAAGACAATGACTGCTTTATATAGTTTTTTATTTTCTTATTTTTATAGTCTTCAAAAATTAAAAAAGGAAGCAAAGGGGATACAACCATGTTGAAACCAACCCTGATGGCAGCTGTTCCGGTAAGAGTTGAAAGTACTGAATATTGAATACTAAAGACCTGGCATTTGTGTAGAGCGGTAATGTCAGTGAAAACATAGCACTGACATGGTAGTTAATGCAGAAATTATTCTGTATTGATTATTCTAGAGCCTTAAGCTTTGCAGGATTTATTCATTCTTATTTTAGCTTTGATTTTTCTTCATACTTACTGAACACTCAGCCTAATCTCAGCTCCTATATATTATCACTACATTCTTTACATAAATGGAAGAAGATTATAGGAAAGGGACACCTAACAGTTTTTTAGCTCCTCCTAAAGTCGGTTTTTTTGTGGCTTTCTGATTTTGCTTAAAAATGTTGGGAATTATTGTTGGATACTTTTGCTCACATCAAGCGTACTTACACAGTTATTCCAAACTCAAGTGTAAATGGTTAATAGTTTTAAGTTTCTGTATAACTCTTGGCTTCTGGTAGGCTTTTAAGTTCTTAATTTGCTCAAAAACTACATGTAACTTAAAATTGTATAGGGAGAATTTGAAGTAGACTTACCAGGAGTGAGCTGTGGCAGCAGGATAAAGATGAGGGGAGTTTCATCAGAATAGTGTTAGAAGACAAACAGATCAAAAAAACACATTCATGATCTTGTGTGAGCTAAGAATGTACTACATTTATATATTTACAAGATAAAGTTACATATTATAAGAAATATTTCAGAAGGCGTCACCATGGCTCAACAGGCTAATCCTCTGTTTCAAGTGCTGGCATCCCATAAGGGCTCTGGTTCATGTCCTGGCTGCTCCACATCTGATCCAGTTCCCTGCTTATGCTCTGGACATGCAGTGGAGGATGGCCCAAGTTTTTGGAACCCTGAACACATGTGGGAGACCTGGAAGAAGCTCTTGGCTCCTGGTCTCTGATGGGCTCATCCCTGTCTGTTGCTGCCATGTTGGGAGTGAACCAGTGGATGGAAGCTCTTTCTTTGTCCTTCCTCTTGTCTGTAAATCTGCCCTTCCAATAAAAAAGAAATACATCTTTAAAATAAGTATTTCAGATAGATGGTAATTCTTTTGTGAGTTTAGTTTTTGGCTCAGAGTAAATAAGATAAGTAAATGAAAATAATTCATAATTATATATTGCTGGGCTAAGGCCTGTATTTCCTTTTTTTCTTCGTATCTTTAAGAATATCTAGATCTAATTCTATTTAAAATTATTTTTTCTGAGATGTCATTTTTAAATTAATTGTGACTCTGTTGCAAAACTTTATTCCTGATAGAATATATTTTTTATGATGTCTTGATCAGAATTTAGATAGCCTTAAACAAAAATACAAATCAGAAGTAAGGTTTACATGTTTAAGATCGCTGATAATCATCCATTATTAATTCATTTTCGTGTGTGTAGGAAATTATGGATCGGATCTACAAAAATGTCATGAATAAAGTGAATGAAATGAGTAGCTTTCAGCGTAATCTGTTTATTTTGGCCTATAATTACAAAATGGAACAAATTTCAAAAGGACATAGTACTCCACTGTGTGACAGGTAAGTCAGTCCCCCCAGCCCTGAGGATTTAGTCATTTCTTCCATGTTAGTAGACAATTGACTGAGACAGATAGAAGAAATGCTTGGCAGAGGGTGAGGGAGTGTGTGGCACCGACTAACCTGCTGATATTCCTGGGAAAGTGGCGGAGAATGACCCAAGCACTTGAACCGGAATGAAGCTCCTGGTTTTGGCGAGGCACCGATCAGGGAGTGAGAAGATGGAAGATTTCCCTCGCTCTCTTCTCTCTGTGTGTGTTTATGTGTCTGGCTCTGCTTTTCTCTGTAACATTGACTTTAAGTTAATTAGTTAATCAATTTAAGGGACTCCTTAAAAATATGCCCTGCTTAAGAATATAGCCATTTAAAAATAATTTGCGAGGGCTTGGATTAGGGGGTGGTGGATTAGCCACTGCCTGTAATTAATGCTGGTATCCCGTATGGGCACCATTTTGATTTCTGGCTGTTTCACTTCTTGTCCAGCTTCCTGCTAATGTGCCTGAGAAGGCGGTGAAGGGAACCCAGAGGGGGGCCTGGGATACAGCTCCTGACCTCGGGCTGATCCAGCTGGAGCCATTGAGGTCGTGTGGGGAGTGAACCAGCAATGGAAGATATCACTGTGTCTTTCCTTCTCTCTCTAACTCTGCCTTAAAACAAATTAGAAGGGCCTGGCACAGTGGCCTAGTGGCTAAAGTCCTCTCCTTGATTGCACCAGGATCCCATATGGGCACCAGTTCTAATCCCAGCAGCTCTACTACCCATCCAGCTCCCTGTTTGTGGCCTGGGAAAGCAGACAAGGATGGCCCAAAGTCTTGGGACCTTCACCAGTGTGGGAGACCTGGAGAAAGTTCCTGGCTCCTGGCTTTGGATCGGTGCAGCACCGGCCGTTGTGGTCACTTGGGGAGTGAACCATTGGACGGAAGATCTCTCTGTCTCTCCTCCTCTCTGTATATCTGACTTTGCAATAAATAAGTATTAAAAATAAGTATATGTACATGTTTTGTATTTAAAGTTTTAAATGACCAGTTTTATCTCAAATATGTGTTTTGTAGTGTTAAATAGATTTATGATATTATTGCAAAATAGTTTAGAAATAATAAATTGAACTATGTCATTCAACATTTTTTATGAGAAAATAAATACATTTTTCAGATACTTCATTTTATTTTGGACTTTATAAACTTGTTTCTCCTGCCTGATTTAATGATCTCTTCAGCAGGATATACTTTTTCCCCCTTTGGAAAGTCTATTAATTTGGTTTTTCAGTTATTTAAAAAGATTTTTTAAAAAAATCCTGCACTTTTGGATTGGATTGGGCGGATGAACAATTTTTTATTGAAGTACTCTTAGAAAAAGATGATGAATTTTTGAAAGATAATTTGTCATGTTTTTAAACTGCTAGTGCGATGTTAACAAGAGTGAGAAAGTGAGTGTGCAGCCTCATGGTTAAGGCTGAGTCGCGTATTGGACTGCTGGCGTGCAGCGTCTGGCCTCAGCTCCCAGCTCTGGTTCCCATCTGATGCAGGCCTGGGAGGCAGCGACTCAGACAGCTGGTCACCTCTCCGTGTGCAAAGCTGACCTGAATTCCTGCCTCCTGGCTCTGACATGGCCCCCTCCTGGATGTCGTGGGCGGAGTGAACCAGCAAATGGGAACCTGTGATGCCTGCCTCTTCTCGCCATCAACAAAAAAGAGCTACATGGCTATGTGTAAATCTGCACATTTCTAATGAAGTAAAGCAAAAACTTCATAATACACGGTATGTGTATCATATGTGTTATATTGCTATATAGTGGTATAAAACCAGTTGCTTTGCCTTAAGAGATTTAACATTAAACCACAAAGTTAAGTTTTATACTTTGAATTCAGATACTGAAAGAAAAGTTCTTAAGAGGAAACTGTATATTCTTGTTAAACTACCAGGAACTAAAATTTAAGTAGCATATCAGGAATATCTCCCTAATTATCTATGTGATTTTGGTTGGATGAGTCACTTAATTTAATTACGAATTAAGTTAGTAATTGGAAGGTTAGTTTAGATGATTTAGAAAACTCATTCAGTTTTAAGATCCTATGACTTTGATTGATTTCTTTTTTAGGCTTGTTTTCCGCAAGGTTCGGAGTTTGCTGGGTGGAAATATCCGACTTCTGCTGTGTGGTGGCGCTCCACTCTCTGCAGCCACACAGCGGTTCATGAATATCTGTTTCTGCTGTCCCGTTGGCCAGGGGTACGGACTCACGGAATCCACTGGGGCCGGAACAATTACGGAAGGTGAGTGTGGTCGCTGAAATGAAGTGTCCACCCAAGACTTATGTACAGTTCCCCTTTTTGTGTTTGTTTGGTTTTGGTATTGGTTATTTTTTGCAAATATATAGAAGAGTTAGTGGAGGCTTTTGTGTAGTAGAGTAGTGACAAATTATGGGTACTATTATTGTTGACACTAATTTTCAGCATGTATTGGTTGTATCGATAATCAGTCATTCATCCAGAGGAACTTTTGATACTAAACTGTGTTACACATCACCAAAAGTATGTGTCTTTCATGAAGCTTTAGTGACCACCATTGACTTTTGGTATCATTTATTTTCTATTATCAGCTATTAGCTTTCTTGTATTAAAGTTGTCAGGGAAGTGAAGCTCAAGTTCAAAAATGTGTGTGGAGATCTTTGTACATGTGTACAGCGGCTTGATTCGGATTAGTGAGTTTAACTGCAGCCGTCATGGTGTGTAGTGGAGAGCAGCTCCACTGCCTGCCTGGCGCTTGGTTTCCAGGTGTGTCCCATGAATGGGGCCTCGTGGCTTCACAGTGCTTCCCAGTGTTAGAGAGAGCTGTGCTTCTGTTTTCTGTGTTTTCTGTTAACAGATACTAAATTTTTTAACTACTCATTTTTCCCATATTTATGTTGAGTGCTTCTGTGTACTAGTGATATGCCAGGTTTTTTTTGTTTTGTTTGTTTGTTTTACATTTTTTATTTTCCTACCTTTCAGAGTTGTCCTTTATACTTTGTCTATTTTCTTGGAGCTACTTTTAGATACTGTTTTACAGGGAAAAGGCTATCTTAAATATACACAGATATAGGACATTTTTGCAGATTCTTAATTTCTTCCATTTTTAAGATGCAGATTGAATGTAATCAGTAGCAGTGTATGTTGTAAGTGAAAGTCTTTCAAGTTTTAAATACTAGCCTTTGATTTCTAGTATTTGGATACTTTTTAAAGAACAAGCATAATAGTTCATTACAGTGGATGATTCCAGCACCTTTACAGTTTTTTGGTCTACCCTGAGTGGTATGGTGGAATTTCAGGCGGGGTTGAGAGCATCAGCTGAGGTAGGGAGGCTGCAGTGTGGACACAGCAAAGATTGAGAGATTGGGAGCTGCAGTGGAGTGCTGTGGGGTCTGATAAGACCTGACGCCCTCGGTCAGCCTGAAGCTGGGGCTGCACACTTAGGAACAATCCCTTGGGTGAGTGCAGTGGCCGCTGACTTGAGGATATGTGATGGGGAAGGATTCCAGGGACACTGAACAACAGGGCGCTTGTCCAACAGAGGCTGGCGATGGTTGCTCTACCTCAAATGTGGGTCTGACCTTACTGGAGATTCCATTTTTTGATTTTTAAGAATGGCAATAGTTAATTGAGGTTTTAGTAAAATTCAGCAGCAGCATGCCTGTACAGACCACAGCCTGTGCTTTGCATCTGTTTTTACAAAGTCTCTTAAGAATTTCTAAGCTTTGGGATAAATTAGTCAGTAATTTAGAAAAATGAAGCAAATGGTTAACTACTGTTTTGAAGTACTTGTTTTTCCTTTGTCTCTCAGCGTGGGACTACAATACGGGAAGAGTGGGAGCACCGTTGGTGTGCTGTGAAATCAAATTAAAGAACTGGGAGGAAGGTAATGTGCTGCTGTAACCAAACAGCATGTTGTTACAACATTAAACTTTACAATTGTACTTCATTTCTTTTTGAATTGTGCTTCATTTCTTTGCTTATTTTTGGAATAATGAACTGTCACCAGAGCGTATTTTTGTCCTTTGTAATAGTTAGATTGTCTCTGGAGTTATGCGTACACATTTAGTTTCTTGTTTTAGTGGTGGTTCTAAAGAATCACACTTTTTTATTTTGTTAACTGTCTTATAACACAAATGCGTATAAGAATTTAAAAAGGCTATAAATGAAAAATGTTATCGTTTTGTAGCAGGAAAATCATAAATTTCATCACATGTGATTGTGTGTGTGCATGTGCCCTTTATTTATTTCCCCTAAGAACTTCAGAGTCTATCAGAAAACTATCACGCCAATTCCGTGTGGCTCTGTGGCATGCACCACTGAAAATGCTGGCCACTGAAAAACACTAGTCAGCAGTCAGTGAGCTGCTGACGTGTGCACAGTTCCTGTGACTCCTTAAGACGACCTTCTCTATGAAGGTAACATTCTGAGGCTCATGGATCATAGCTCAGCCAATTGTAGCAGAAATTGTGGAAATGCTTGGTGAATTTAGGCTTGTCATTCTGAAATGATGTCTGCAAGATACATGGAAAACTGACTTTCTAGATACTTGTTCCGTTATTAAATGTGTAACTTAGTACTTTTATTACGTTGGTGTGATATTTAGGACTCCACAGAATCTTTGAAACCTCTTACATATGCAGTATAATTATTTTATAGGTGGATGATACTGAATTTTAAGGAATAATTTTTTTTAAAAACAGCTTAAAAGCATACTTGCCTGTGGTTGAGCAAGTGAAATTTTGCACCTACTGTTACATTGATAAACTTTGTCCATTCATTGAAACTAGTGGTTTCAAATGTTTACATGTTACATATAGGAATAAAATAACAACTTTACTCTTAAATTATTTTATATTTATTAGGTGGATATTTTAATACTGATAAGCCACATCCCAGGGGTGAAATCCTTATTGGTGGCCAAAATGTGACGATGGGCTACTACAAAAATGAAGCAAAAACCAAGGCTGATTTCTTTGAAGATGAAAATGGGCAGAGGTGGCTTTGCACTGGAGATATTGGAGAATTTGACCCTGATGGTTGTTTAAAGATTATTGGTAAGCCATCTGGTAATTTTTGGGTAGTGAATATATCAGAAATAGTTTTGCCTAAAGGTAATGCTCATTTAGAGAACCTATTTAATAACCCAAGAGTCTGTCTTTGTATAATTTGACATAGTCTGTTAAACCTGGAATACGAAAAATTTTTAATAGGTCTGCCTTTTACTTTTTCTGCTTCGATAGATAATTTCGAAGCTTGTCATTTAGAGGTCCTCAACTCCCTATAGCAGTGATCTTTTTAATTACTATGAGATAATCCTTGGTCATTTTCTCCTGCTTGTATAGGAGAGAATCACTTTTGTTAATTCTTTGACATTAGGGCTTATCTGGTGATACTTATACAGCTGTTGCCTTCGGTTGCCCAATAGGCCAAAAGCCTGGCAGCTCCAGTAGTTACCCGTGTGAGGCATTCAGTACCTGTCCCCCCTGCCCCTTTGCGGATCTTCCTTTCAGTTACCGGCATTTCTGTCCCCGTCATGCTAGCTTGAAACCAAAGAGGAGCCGAAAAGCTCGTAAGTCAGTTCCTAATTCCTATCCCATCTCATAGATTTATCTTATGGGACGTGCTTCAGAATCATATTCTTTCCCTTGTTATGGGATTGAGGGTCTGTGATAAGAAATTCCTTTTTGTTTCCATTCTTAGCTCCCCTAAAAACGTCTCTGCCACTGCGTCATTACTCAACACTGTTCTTACTGGGTCGCTTCCTCCTGAAGACCTTTCAGTGGCTCCTGGAGCTCAGTGCAGGTTAACTGTTATGTGACCCGTGTTGACCTGCCGACCTTCATCCTCAGTTGTTCCCCTCTTGCTCTATGCACGGTTCTTAGACCTGTCAGATTTCAGGTCTTTGCCAGTGATTTTCTTCTTGGCTGCATCTCATTCTCTCCTGTAAGACCTGAGCTGTACGTAATAGTATAACAATTATTGCATAATTTTATTATGTTTTGCTACTTTCAGCATAACCATAAATACTTAATGTAGTAGAACTTGTAAGTAATTTGATAGCAAGTTATTTATCACATGGCCAGTGTTTATTTGTATTAAGGGTGTGATCAGTGGAGTTCTTCTCAATGTTGTTTCCCTCTTTTTGTGCAGATCGTAAGAAAGACCTTGTTAAACTCCAGGCAGGGGAATATGTTTCCCTTGGAAAAGTAGAGGCTGCTTTGAAGAACCTTCCACTAATAGATAATATTTGTGCATATGCAAACAGGTAAGAACTAGAATGCAGACTGCTTAAGATATCTGGTGTGCTGTGGACATTTCCTGCCCTGTGGGCCTTCTTTATACAACTTTGCCAGGAGCGTTTCCTTCTTCCCCGTTACCTCTGGGGAGAGCCTGCTTGTTGGAGTCATTCCTGATTTCTTCCCTGTCAGTGCTTCTCCCTCATCACCGTGCTGTTTCTCTTTTCTACTTTACCTCTCATTGTGGTGTCCCATGTGGTAGGGAGAGGAAGAAAATGAAGTCTTGCTTTCTGCCGTCTTGGTGTGCTCCCAGCTGTGTGATCTCTGCACGGTTTGCAGGGTTCCTGCAGAGGAAAGGGAAGTGAAGCTTCAGGAAACAGGCCACTGTTCAGCACTGAGTCGCTGTGCTGTCAGAACCTGTGAACTCTGTGGGTGGGGCTGGAATCTCCTACATGAAGCCCTGTCAAGTCATAGCTTTACCACGTGGCATTCCTGGCTTGTGAGATCATTGTAAAGGAAGTGAAGATGGAGAGTTGGTAAAACCTCAAAGCTACCTTCTTGAGAAATGTTGGAATTTCAGATTGAAACTTTGATTACATGTTTTATAAAAATATCAGGACAGAGAGAGCTTCCATTAGCTGATTCACTCCTCAGATGACCAGTGGCTAGTGCTGCACCAGGTCAAAACCATGAGTTTTATCCAGGTTTCCTGCAAGGGAGCTAAGGACCGAAACACTTGGGCCAGCTTTCTGCTGCTTTTCCCAGCAGTTAGTGGGCAGCTGGATTGGAAGTGGAGAAGCTGGGCTATGAACTAGTATGGGAATGCTTGCTTTACCAATGGGTAGGTTACCTGCCACATGGCAGTGCCAGCCCTTCTCCCCTGCTTTTTTTTTTCTTTTTTCTTTCTTTTTTTTAAGATTAATTATTTTGAAAACTAAAGTTACATACAAAACGACAGAGAATGATAGGCTATTTTATAGAAGGACCTAGGAACTTATCTATAGCAAGTGGCGTTTATTGTGGGAAAATTGAATTGGGTATCAGAAAAAACAATTTAGAAAAAGACTTTGGGGTTTGGGCCACACTAAAGATGAACTTCAGTGGGAACAGGGGGTTAGCCTAGGGAGTGTTATGCCCACACTCCGTGGGAAGTACCTTGGTGTCGTTCCCAGCTCTCACTCTTGGCCCCAGCTTTTGTCTTTGCAGACCCTGTGGGGCCATGGTGATGCTTCCTGCCGCCCACCTGGGAGACTTGGGCCGGGCTCCCAGGACCTTCCTGTTGTGGGCTCTTAGGTAGTGAAAGAGTACGTCAGAGACTTTTTATGTCTGTCTCTAAATAAATAAACAACCTTAAGTAGGTGCACTACATTGATTTGTGAATGATTCTACACATTAATTAGGCATTTATCTTACCACAATGTTGTATTTCAATGATAGTAAGTAGAACTATGCTCTTTCGGCTATTTCATGACCTTTAGCACAGGACTGCCTTCATTTCCATGCTCAGAGTTCAACTGTCAACAAAACTAATGAAAATCAAAGAAAAAGTATGTAATTTTGACTTGCTGCCAGAGTTCTTTCAGCCACAGTTCCTAATTTACATTGGACTGGATTTTTTGTTTAACCTGTTAACAATTAAGTACTTATATTTTAAAGATGACTTAAAATATTTTTAATGACAATTTATAATAATTAGGGATACTTGAGGTTTATCATGGGATGTCAAATTAAGGTTTATTTCGCAGTGAATTCTCAAAACCTTGGGACATAAGCTGCAAACAATAAAACTGTTACTTGAAGTAAGCTTGTCATAGTAAATATGGTATGTACATTTTAATAAAATTCTAAAAAGACAGTTATTAAATGTCATTGAATGTAATTAGCAACTGCAAACTTAATAAGCTGGTTTGTTCATTAACAAAGATCCCTTATGTATTTCAGTTACCATTCTTATGTCATTGGATTTGTTGTGCCAAATCAAAAGGAATTAACAGAACTGGCTCGGAAGAAAGGACTTAAAGGAACTTGGGAAGAGCTGTGTAACAGTTCTGAAATGGAAAATGAAGTACTCAGAGTGCTTTCTGAAGCTGCTATTTCAGGTGAGTGTTTCAGTCAATCGGAGCCAAAGAAGTAACATTACATCTGTGAACCTGTGTGAAGCTTACACAACCATTCCTGCCGTTGGTAAACGAAAGAATACACTAATGAATTTCTACAAGAAACACACACGCCGCATCCACTCCCACCGAGCCAGTGTTTGTGTTTCAGTGTTTGTATCTCTGCTACTGTCTTTTTTCTGGCCCTCTCTCTGCTGCTCACAGCTGTGCTTCAGGCCTCTGTTTAGTTTCCTGTCTGCATATTCCACGGTGAATGCTGCACAATTCCTTTTGCAGCCTTGGGCACTTTTAGTATATTGGTGGGTGGTTGTCCTGATATGTTCTGTGCTAATTTTCTTTTGATCTGAGACTGGTTTAGCATTGTTGGTTTAATAAAACAGCTTTGTCTTTTTAGTTATCAGCGTTAAGCATAGCATGAAGATAAGCATGAATTTTTATTCTAGTTAGATTTGGTGTATTTGCATTTAATCTAGCAAAGTCATTATTCTGGCCCTTTATTTCAACAGTAATTGCATTTTGTACTATAGCAGCTTGAAGATAGCTTTCAAATATTTTCACGTAATTTCAAATTTTGGACTGATGTTAAATTGCTTTAATTAATGGATCTTTGATAGAAACCTACACAATTCTTAAATAAGGTGGAATATGGAAACAATAACTAAGTCTTCATTTTAAGTTTAGATGTTCACTAGTTGTGTGGCCATCATGCCAAGAGAGATAGTACATCCTTTAACAGACACTCTCCATAATCACCCCAAGCCCCATCTGTCATCACCCACTAAATGATTGTCTGTCTGTAGACTTACCTACTCCAGGGGAACCGGCTAATCAGTGGTCTCCTTGACTTACCATTATGTTTCAAAAGTTCATCTGTAGTGTACCATGTGCCAATACTTTGTTTTATTTCCAAGTAATATTGTATGATTATATACTACTATATTTGAACATTTGCTTTTTTGTTCAAATGTTCAATTTGTTCAACTGAACATTTTTTTCTACTTTAGGCTATTATAAATATGCTACTATAAATTGTTGAAGTGTAGGTTTTTGTGTGGATTTTGTTTTATTTGGTAGATACTTACAAGTGAAATGAATAGGACATTAACTAACTTTATAGTAAATCTTTTTTGAAGAACATCTAGACTAACAGTATTTCCTAAAATATTTTTTCTGTTTTTCCAAAATGGTGGCATTAACTTACTAACTCTGAAGTAAGTGGGTAAAATGATATCTTCTCAATGTGTCTGATTTACATTTTTTTGCTGGCTGATGAGGTTGAAAATATTTTTATGTGCCTGTTGACCACTGTCTATATTCTTTGACCAATATTCAGGGTTTTTTTTTATGAATCGTTTAATGGTTGTTGTTAAGTTGTATGCTGTATATCTTGGATGCAACTCCATTGTCAGGCATGCAGTTTACAGAAATTTTCTGCTGTTGTTTGCCATGCCTTTATACTTTCTTCATGGTGTTTTTTTGAAGTGCAGAAGTTTTAAATTTTAGTGAATTACAATTTTTGTTTTTCTTTTTAAAGAAAGCTTATTTATTTTAAAGGCATAGTTACAGAGTGAGGGATAGAAAGAGATCTTCCGTTCTTGATATTCACTTCTTTAATGGCTGCAACCATCGAGGCTGGGCCAGGCCGAAGCTGGGGCCTGGAATTCCGCCTGGGCCTCCGTCCAGGGTGACGGGGAAGCAGAGTTGATCAGGCCCTGTGCTGCTGCTTTCCCGGTGCGTCAGCAGGCTGCGGCCGCACTTGAATTGCACTCGGGCTATTGGTGTCACCGGTGGTGACCCTCTGTGCTGTGATGCCAGCCTCGTTTTTCTTATTTCCATTTGTGGTGTCCTGTCAGAGAAACTCTTGCTTAATTCAAGTCCCAAAGACGTAAAACTTCCTTCTAAGGGTTGCTTACTTTTAGCTCTTACATGTAGGCCTTTAATTAATTCTAAGTTAGATTTTTATGTGGTGTGAAATGGGGTGGGGAGGTAGATACAACCTTATTAAGTTGTATCTATACTAGGCATGATTACTTAAGAAAGTAAAATCAATATCAGTTTATTTATATGAAGATGTGACAAGTGTGTGTGTGGTGCAGACAAAGGGAGGGAATGTTGCTACAAAAAAATGGCTTCTGTAGCAGTGGGGACCGACTCGCAGTGTCTGAGATGTGAAGGGCAGCCTGTCCGAGGAGAGGTCCTCACGCACGAGCTCCTGGCCGCGTGCAGGCTTTCTCTCCCTTACAAGTGGCTAGTGTCCCATTCTGCTTCTTATAACTGGTATTTATACACATAAGTCAAGTCCATATGAAGACAGTTCACAAATAAGAAAAAAAAACCACAGGCACCCAACTATTTTCTGTCTACAGGGAACTCAGTTTAAATCTAAGGATTGTCAGGGCTAAAAATAAGATACCCCGCAGAGACAGTAAGTAGCTTGAAGACTGAAGGTGGCTGCGACAACATTAAATAAAAGACTTTAAGGCAAAAACGATCACAGAAGACTAAGTTAGAAACTATATCATGATAAAAGGTTGATTATCCAGGAGGAGATCTTTATGAATTCCTCCATTGCGTCTGAATGTCACTAAGCCACAGCCGGGGAAGCAAGAAGGGGACTCCCCAGAGACACGTGCTGACCTGGCAGGGTGCTCTCAGCCTGAGGGATGATAAGGAGACATAAAGACAAAGTGCTTTGTTTTTAAATTGCAAAATATTTTTAATGGAAAATTAGAAGGCTAATGTCTTTGCCTTGCATGCACTGGGATCCCATACTGGTGCTAGTTTATATCCTGGCTACTCCACTTCCCATCTAGCTCCTTACTTGTGGCTGGGGAAGCAGGTGAGGATGACCCAAAGCATTGGGACCCAACACACGTGGAAGACCAGAAGTCTGTGGCTCCTGGCTTGAGATTAGCTCACTTGTGGCTATTGCAGCCACTTGGAAATCTTTCTCACCATCTCTCCTTCTCTCTGTAAATCTTTCAAATAAATATAAATAAATCTTAAGGAAGAAAATTGTTTAAATGTTCAAAACAAATTAAGAACAAACATTCTCAAATTCTCCACAAAAAAAGGAAGAGCAGGAAACACCAAATTCATTCTATATAATCATATCCTGATATCAAAATAGAAGGCGAGATAAAACTACAGATCCAGTAAGTACTGACTGATGCAAAAATGCCCCCAAATAGTCTCAAATCAAACTCAATAGTATATGAAAAGGAATATATACCAGATCAAGTAGGCGTTACACCTACTTGATGCTTTTCAATACACAAAAAATGCAAGATGCTTTTCAATACATGAAAAATCAGTGAAACACACCAAATTGAAAACTGAAGTTTTATAAAATTAGTAATGATCCATCAGTTAATGCAGAAAAAAAGCATGATAAGATTCCAATTTTTTCACAATAAAAATACTCAGCATGAAATAGGAAAAAACAATATTACTTCATAGTAAGCAAAGGCATATTGAAAAGCCTGCAGCAAACCTCGGGGACAGTAAGATAACGAAAGCCTTCCCGCTAACAGCAGGCACTGAGGAAGGGTGTCTCCACTCGCGCTGCTCTTCAGCATGGTCCCAGAATGCAGCCACAGCAATACGACAAGAAAACCAAACATGGGGCCAAACATGGGGCATCCAGACTGTTAAGAAGTATAAACAAGCTGTTTGCTATATGTAGAAAATCCTAAAGAATCCACAAAAAATTGTAACAAAAAGATTTCAGCAACCTTTAAGGATACAAAATCACTTGCATTTCTATTTACTGGCTGTTAAACAATCCTAACTGCAAAAGGCTGCTTAAAGGACTCAAAGGAGACACAAATGGAAAGATTATCTTGTATTATTGGACTGGAAGAGTCCGAGTCTTTCATAGGTTTTTTTTTTTCCCTCCCTATTCTGTTTTGTAATTCAAAAAGTTTATCTTGAGCTTGCTAATTTTTTCTCTTTTCTGGTCAGATTTTCTTTGACTTCTCTGGTGAATTTTTCAATTTGTGTGTTCTATTATTCAGTTCCAGAATTTGCCTAGTTCTACTTCTGTGAGGTTTTTAAGATTATCATCTTCACTTACTCTCAAGCTACTTACCTGATTTGTTCTCTCTGTGCTCTTAACTCCTTAGTTTCTTCATTACAGTTGTATTGAGTTCTTCATCTGATGATTCATATATCTGTTTCTTTGAAGTTGATGTCTGGAGATTTGGTTTGACCTGCTCCATCTTTTGGGTACATCTCTGTTTGCATGTCTTCCTGTGTTTTGTTGGGACTTTGGCATTGTAAACGTAGCTACCCTTCTCAGTGTGTAGGTCTTGTTCTACCCTGCGATGAAGTCCTTCCTGAGGTCCTGGTGATTTCCCAGCTGGCGCCAGGCTTTCCCGAGGTGCGTCTGCTCTGGTTTGTTGTTTGTGACTCAGACGCTCCCTCTTGTGTTTCTGTGTGATAGTGCAGCCTCAGAAACGTGCCTTGATCCTTTGATATATAGTTTCAGGCAAGCCAGAAAGCAAAACCAGAATTTTAGATATACATTTTTCTCCAGGAAGAAGTTGGGAAATGGGGTGTCCTCCATATGGCTATGGAAAGGATGGGCTCTGGAGGGAGAATGCCTGGTGTTTTCTCAGACTTTGATGCTCTTGTCTCGCTTTGTTGTGGAGCATAAAAGCCTAAATAAAAGCTGGCTTCAGGTCCCTCCAAAGGGCATGTGCAGGATGAGTGTTGAGTCCATGTCTTAGGTGGGGGTGGCGTGAGAGGAGCTATATCCTCTTGTCCTGTCATCTTTCTGACAGCACACTTAACTTACACCTTTTTATAGGAATTGTAACAATTTGGTGTTTGCCTACATCTTTCTCTCTGGTTATGGACCATTTAGAAACACTATTTGTTTTTGTGTATTTTAAACATTATTAAAATACTTTAGATATAATAAATTCTCAGGAAATACCTGTCAAAAGGATAAAGGATACGTCAGTGATGTTAAGGTCTTG